GTTTCATCCCCAGGGACCCCGACTAACGAATATCCTGGCCGAGGCGGATTTCGGAGGGCTGATAGGACGAGGAAGGAGGCTAACACACAACTGGCAGCAGCAGCAGCAGCAGCAGCAGCAGCAGCAGCAGCAGCGGGCCGCTTCGCTCTCCAGCACGCCCCTGGGGGCCGCTCCGATCTTCCTCTGACCTCTTACCTGGGTGAAGTAGAGTAGGCCACGACCGCGCTTTCGAGGTCTGGAAACAGCGCGCCCACGCAGAAAGTGGCCCTCCACGTGCCGCCTTACCCATCGACATTGCGAGTGGGCCTCGCGCGGCAGTGGCGACTGAGCTCGGCGAGGCCCTGGAGCGGCAGGAGCACGCCTCTCTCCTTCCACCTCTTCTCAAGCACGGGCTGCGACGACTCTGGGCATTGCGGACCCTGGCCCGTCGCCCACAGCATCGCCCGCGAAAGTGTGCAAACAGGGCGGCCCCGGGCCGTCGGAACTCCCCCCGTCCTCCTTCCTCCGCTGAGCCTCCGCGCGCTACTGCAACCCCTCCTCCTTCCCTCCCTGGACGGCCAGCTGGTCGGCGGCCGCGAGAGAAGTTATGAAGGCGGCCTCGCGTCAGTCGCGGACGTCGCCTGGACTGGCCAGCGCCTGGACGAAAGCCGCGAACACGCTGCCGCCGCTCGCCTGGCCCCCGAGCCTCGCCCACGATCTTGCGCTGCTTTGTTGCCCTCCTTCCCTGCGGCGCCCGGGCCGGCTGGGCGCCCCAGGCGGCTGGGCGCGATCGGAGGCGCGGCAAGCGGGACAGGGCGAAGGTGCGTCGGGGGGGCGCCCCTGGAGTCCAAAGAGCTCTGCGCCCTCAAAGCCACGCATCGGGCACGAGGAACAAGCTGGGATGGCCACGGCTGCGGCGCTCCGTGACCTACCAGGCACGCGACACCCGCGGCGCACGGATTGCACGAGGCGCCGCTGGCATGGGACAGGTTATCCAAACACAGTGTCGCATACAGGGCATTGATCAGTCATGGCCAGAACATGCCCCAACATTCGATGCCCGTGGTGTGCAATGACGTGTGTATCCGAGACTTAGTAGGTAAACGCGGCATGCGAGGTACCCCTCCCTAATCCGGTAACGCGCATACGCATGGGTTATCATGCCCCACTCAAGCCGATATTCACCTCCCGATCGGCGCAGCGACTTCGCAACGAACGCGGCGGAATAGCTACTGCCAACATCAGACCACGAAGCTCGCGAATATCGACGATCAAGAACATGTCCAGACAATGCTCATCAATATAGGGAGCCCACAAAGGACGTACGCGCCCAGCTATGTACATGAACACGGCCCCTCGATCCGCGAGACCGGCCGCGTTATACGAACATTTGCGCAATGTGAACTCTCAAAACCAGCGTGGATTCATGTACATGTACGTCCTTTGTCCGCTCCTGACAATAGACAGCTTCTTAACATTCCTATTCAGCTCCCCCCACAAGACAGCCCCCGCCTCGGCTTGGGATGACTCTTCCAGGCTGGCCCAGAGCTTTCTCGGCCCAGGACTCGCATCGCCCGCCAGGAGGTCAATTTGAGGCCTTCGGGTTGGGTTGAGGTGGTTTGGTGGGTGGTGACCAACACCCCCCAGCCCCGCCCACTTCAGAGGTGGATCTCGCGCAACAGTCTCCAGACGGCGCCGCAAGACACTGGCGATGTGCATGCTGAAATCGCACCAGTGCTTGCGGCCACCACAGGCCACGCGCGCGCGCTTCCACATCCAGCGGCGCACATCGCCACCAACGAAAGACCAACTCGGGCCCAGATCGTGCCGCAGCAAACCGTTTGAAGACCCTGGCGCATGCCAAAACATCGTTCTCGGGATTCCAACGCCACGGATCAACCTGACTGTTGCGTTTTGACGATCCTGAATCGTGCCACGACGCCATTCCTGGGACTTCAACACAGCGAACCAACGTAACTGTTTTGTCCTCATAATCCTGAATCCTCCCAAAGCACCGTGTCTGGTACGCTGGTCATGGAAATCCGTGAAACCCTTGCAAATTCCAACAAAAAGAATGTGCCCGGCGCTATAGCGAGAACCACATGTTGAATAGGAACCGCCCTCAATCCGTGACACTCTTGTAAATGTTTAAAACGAATGCGCGCGGCGCTAAGGCGAGAACCACATGTTGAAAAGGAGCCGCCCTCAATCCGTGAAACTCTTGCAACCTGTTTAAACGAATGTGCGCGGCGCTAAGGCGAGAGCCACATTTAGAAAACGGCCCACCCTCCATCTGTGAAGCTGTTGTCCACATGTAAGCTTCAGGGTCATAAATGGAGAGGAAGTCTCAAGCGAAACGCCCGGGCCGCCCTAAAAAACTGGCCTCGGGGTGCGACGGGGAGAAGCTATGTATGAGGGAATGGAGGAGGGAGGTTGATAAAGAGGAGAAGGAGGAGGAGAAGGAGGAGGAGAAGGAGGAGGAGCAGGAGAGGGAGATGGGAAGGATGATGAGGAGGAGGCGGAGGAGGAGGGATAATAAGGAAAGAGGCAGGGAAGACGAGGAGGAGGAGGCGGAGGAGGAGGACGAGGAGGATGATACAGAGGCAGGGAAGAGGAGGATGAGGAGCAGGAAAAGGAAGAGGAGGAGGATGAGGGAGGTGGAGGAGGAGGACGATGATGAGGAGGAGGAGGAGAAGGAGGAAGGAGGAGGAGAAGGAGGAGAAGGGGAGGAGGATGAGGAGGGAGGCGGAGGAGGAGGCGGAGGAGGATGAGGAGGAGGAGGAGGAGGAAGAGGAGGATGAGAAGGGGAGGGGAGGAGGAAGAGGAGGAGGAAATGGAGGGAAGGGGGGTGGGCGGGCGAACTGCGCTCTGCCGCCCAAGGCGGCCGCCTCCTGCGGCTTGAACTGCTTGTGGGCGGCCAGGCACCGCGGGAGGAGCCCCACGACCTCGGCCCGGCGGCGGCGGCAGCGCCACGCCGCCCGCCCCCCCCCCCCCCCCACCCAACCCCCGCCCCTCCCTGACTACCTACTAGACCACCCCAACCCAACCCGAAGACCCGAATTTGACCCGAATTTCGGGTTGGGGGGGTACGGATACCATGTGTTTTTTCAACGTTCCTCGACCCCCCCCCCACTGGAAATCGAGGATAAATTTGGGCCTTCGGGTTGGGTTGGGGTGGTTTGGTGGGTGGTGACTCCCTGCATCGCGTCCCCCCGCCCTCGGGGGGGATTCCTTTTGCTGTAGGCAGCAATCGGCCACGCTCGCGGGCGGACTAGGAGGCCGGCCAGAAGCACGCGCAAGCTCTGAGGAGAGAGGTGAGGTTGAGCCCAAACGGCACGAAGAAAACCTCAGAGCCGATGAGGTCTTCTTCGAGCCGTTTCGGCTCAACCTCGCCTCTCTCCTCAGCGCTTGCGCATGTTTCCGGCCACTCTCTCCCTCGGAGGGGGGAGGGAGGGAAGTGGAGGAGGAGGAGGACGAGGAGGAGGAGGAGGAGGGGGAGGGAAGGAAGTGGAGGAGGAGGAGGAAGAGGAGGACGAGGAGGAGGAGGGGGAGGCCCAGACATGCTCGCATCGCCCAAAAACATCAGGACGCGTTCTTTTCGTCGTGTTCGGCTTCTGGAGGCCCTCGCTGCCCCTGCTTCCTCCTGTGCGCGCCTCGCCTAGTCGACTTGCCTCTCACGTCGTCCGTGCTGCACTCCAGCTTTTCGTCCCCAGCCACCTCATGAGGGTAAAGCTTGCCGATTGCATCGCCAACGCTTTGGTGTGGAGGAGTGGTGGATGGCGGTGTTTATGCAGAGGGGGAGGCAAGTGCTTCTGTGAAACGACCGCCGTTGCGACGGAGCAACTGTTCGCTTCTCTCCCGCCGCCGAGCGCCGTCGGGGCAACAATGCTGCTACCGCCACGCGCCGTTACGACAGGCTGATGCTGCCACCGCCAAGCGCCGTTACCACATAATTGCACGTCGTTCATTTCTAATCGTGCTCGTTTCTAATTGTGATCGGTTCTAATTGGTCCTGGCCCCCCTAGTGGCCAGGAAGAGGCCCAGGATAGAAGAATTAGGAATGAAAAGGTCTTGCCCCCCCAAAAAATCAAAGCCCTTCCGAAGAATTAGAAATTAACGATGTGTAAGGATGGCTTGGGACAGGGGTGAATGTTTGAAGTGGGTGAGATCTTGGTGGTAGGGTTTACTAAACGTGCCGACCACCAGCGCCATAGTACTTCGCGTGTCGGCCCCAGAATTTCGCAGCGGCAGCTTCCAACATGAGTTTCACGAGGCGGTGGAGGCTGATTGGGAGGTTCGGAGGACGTGGAGTGGATGGTGGTGGAGGAGGAATCTCCGAGGGCATCTTTAAATTGGCTCTGCACCGACCTTCGTGCGGAATGGTTCGGTTACGATGCGCTGGGGGTGGAGCTGCCAAAGTTCATCAGGGAAGCCCTCGCTGCAGTTTAGATACGGTCTCTCGGCACACGGTGCTACCTGCTTTTGCAACTTCCAGGAATAAGTGAAAGCTAATGTCGAGGAGGTGGAGGAAGCTTGAGGAGGAGGAGAAGGAGAAGGTTGGATGTTAACATTTACCTCGCACTCGGCGAGGGCAGTAGTCACGGGCATCTTTACGACTGCTGGCAAGGCATCGTTACATTAGCCCTGGGATGTATGATGAGGGAAGAAACTGATATGCTGAGCGCTGGCTGCAAACTGCAGACCAAAACAACATTCGTTTTCGCTGGCATGTCGCTCCCTCTTTTTTGGGAAAGGCATCCGTGTGGCCGCGTTACTTTCGAGTCCAAGTGCTCTCGCCAGAGCCTTGGCGGAGGAGGTGGAGGTTGTGAGGAGTGGAGGAGTGGAGTAGCGGAGGCTGGGGAGTCACTATTAACTTGACCCTCGGTGAGGGCAGCCTTCCAGACCCTCGGTGAGGGCAGTTTGCCATTGTGCTGGAGGATGTGGAGGTGATGGTTATGTAGTTGATACGTGTGGAGGTGGTTGGATGTTGAACTACACCTGACGCTAGGCGAGGGCAATAGTCACGGGCATCTTTACATCGGCCCATGACTGCTGCCAGGGCATCGTTGCATTGGCCCTGCTATCCTCAATGAAACGTTTGGTCACTGCATCATTGGCCCTGCACTGTAGCGCGCCACCGCAGGCGTCAGCACTGTCACGGTAGGGGTGGGACCTTGAGGAGGGGAGGATGCAATTGACTGAGCATGTTCTTAGGGTGGAGGGCTCAGGGTGAAATCCATATGGGCTTTCGCACCTCGAAAATCAACTGTCTTGTGAATCGCCTCTTGCAGATCTAAGCCTCGAAAGCCCATCGAAAGGGCATTTCAGATTTCACCCTTTGCTCTTCACCCAAAGAAAAAGCTCGGATTGAGTGCGGGACGGGAACATGACCACAACCACTGCTTCTTGTTTGCGCCGCCTTCCAGCCGGCCGAAAACGAAGCAGTGGTTGTGGTTGTTTCCCTGGTGCCAAGCTTAACGAACATGACCACAGCCACTGCTTTGTTTATGCTGGCTGGAAGGCGGCAACAAAAGAAAAGCAGTGGCTGTGGCCGTTTTCACGTCCCGTATTGAAGTGATGATCGGGGGAAAACAAACCTACCTCGCTTTTGACCACCCTCGCTTCCAAGAGATACCAAACGATGCCAAATTGCGGCCTGTACTGGTCAGGCCGCTTGACGAGGAGGCGCGTGGTATGGCTTGGTTTTGCCTGGAAGCGAAAGCGGGGTAGGTAATTCACGCTCCGAGATGAGGACAACCTTGCCGACGCCTGCCGATCTGATACCACATGCCCTCGCGTGCTCTCCACGCCTCGGGCCCCTTCGCACCTCGTGCGCCGCCGAGTCTGCACTCGAGCGATGTTACTGTTTTTGTCCTGCCGAGAAGTCCGCCTACGGAACGCAACACAAAACGGATGATGCTGAGGATGATGATGCTGCTGATGATGATGATGAGGAGGAGTGATGCTGATGATGATGATGCTGATGCTGATTATGATGATGAGGAGGAGGAGGAGGAGGGGGAGGAGGAGGGGGAGGAGGGGGAGGGGGAGGAGGAGGGGAGGAGGAGGAGGGAGAGGCGGATGAGGGGGACTGGGAGGCGGGAGTGAGACGGCGGCAGGCGACGGCGGCCGCGGTCGGTGAGGGCCAGCGGGCTCGGCGAGGGCGGGCGGCGGCTGCGGCCAGCGTGCCGCGGCTGCGGCCAGCGGTACAAATCAAACCGGTGGGAAGGGATGGGAGAAGTGATAGTGTAAAGTCGGGGAATTGCCCTGAGGAGCCCTAAGTAAGGAACGAGGCCCCTTTTGTCCATACGCTGAACTTCGATTCCCGATCGAGAACAGAAGGGACACCTGAGGTAAGCTGTGAAACACTTCAGGAACGCGGAGCCCCTCCCCAACGAAAAGGGTTCCTTCTTCAGGGCCCCGACGGTATAGGATATCACATGTGGCGCGAGCGCTCCTGCCTTGGCCCCCCCCCACCCCCCACCCCCTCCTCCTCCTCCTCCTCCTCCTCCTCCTCCTCCTCCTCCTCCTCCTCCTCCTCCTCCTCTCCTCCCTCACTCCTCACTCCTCACTCCTCACTCCTTCCTGTCTCGCCTCCTCCCCGTCCCACCTCGCCCCCATCCCTGGCCCTTCTTCTCAGCCCCCCCCCTCTACAAATACTCCATCGGAAGTGCCACCCTCCTCTCTCCCCAGATCCCGTCCGAGCGGGGCACCTTCGCTACTGCATTCTGCATTCTTTGTAAACGCACAAGGCTTCAATGTGTTTGTCCATGTAGTGTTTTCCGCTCAGGACGTCCCCGGTCAATCAACATGCTGCTCCAGCTGCAGCGTGGGCCTCTATTTCGGATCGGCGCTTTGCTCCCGTCGTTGAGAATGGCGCTCTCGCCGGAGCGCGGGCCACATTTCTGGATCCGATTCCTTCCTCGACGTTATCGCCGCCCCCTCTACTTTCCCCTCCTCCGATTTCCCCTGGTCCTCCTGCTCGTCCCGCTCCTCCTACTCCCACTCCCGCTCCTGCTGCTGCTGCTGCTCCTGCTACTGCTCCTGCTCCTGCTCCTGCTCCTCCTCCTCCTCCTCCTCCTCCTCCTCCTCCTCCACCCTCTTCCTCCTCCTCCTCCTTCTCGTCTTCTTCCTCCTCCCTCTTCCTCCTCTCTTCATCCTCCGTTCTGCTTCTTTCCTCCTCATTCTCTTCCTCCTGCTCATCCGCCACCTCCTCTTTCTCCTCCTTCTCCTCATTGCGCAGTACACGGTGGGGATCCAGGTCCGTTAGGACTGCCGTCGGCGGGGAGAGAAGCAGTCAGCGCAGTGGAAGGGGATGGGTGGGAAGGGTCGGATGCGCGCAGGCTGCGCGCACCTAGCTTGCCCCCCCTCCCCCCTCGCTCCCTCCCCGCCCCCCCTCTCTCTCTCTTTCCCCCCTCCCTCCGTGGGGAGGAGGACAGAGTCCCAAGCCAGCGCGCCGTCGGCAGCAGGGCCCTTGACGCAGGGACGGCCTGCAGCGGCCACCGGGTGCAACACCACCACAGCGCCACGATCACGCACCGCAGCGCCTGCCCGGGGCGACCAGCGGGCGGCCCGAGCCCCCGGCCGCCGCGCGCACCACCGGGGAGTGCGGCCTGCCGCGGGAGATGGCCCACAGTATGTTGGCCATGTGCTGCGTGTGCAGATCCTGGGGCGGAGGGAGGCCAGGAGAGGAGCAGGGAAGGGGAGGAGTAGAGTCGGAGGAGGGGGAGGAGGGCGAAGGGAGGGAGGGGGAAGAGTAGGAGGAGGAGGAGTCACGGTTTGCCTCCGAGACTCCTTGGGAGGGAGCGTTTTCCCGCCGTCTCTCCCCCTTCCAGCTCCTCCTGTCACTGCTTCTCCGCCTCGTCTGCCTACTTCACTCCCTCCTTTCGCATCATTCCCTCCTGCTCCTCCTTTTTCTCCTCCTCCTCCTCCTTTTCCTCCTCCTCCTCCTCCTCCTCCTCCTCCCCCTGCTCCTTTTCCCTCCCTTCGTTGTTCCTCTTCTTCTTCTTCTCCTCCTCCTCCTCCTCCTCCTCCTCCTCCTCCTCCATCGCCTCTTCATCCTTCGTCCTTCCTGTCTGCGAGAAAGCTCTCCGCTCCCTTCCGCGTGCCGGCGGCCCCTCTCTCCCTCCACCCTCCCCACCCTTCCCCTCTCCCCGGGTTCCTCCTCCTCCTCCTCCTCCTCCTCCTCCTCCCCACCCTTCCCCTCTCCCCGTCATCCTCCTCCTCCTCCTCCTCCTCCTCCTCCTTCTCCTCCTCCTTCACCCCTGCTCACGATAAATGGTAGGCAGGTGGCATGCGCGCCCTGACTCTTCGACGATCGGGTGGCGAGGGAGCAGGGTCCAGAACCAGGGGTAGGCCAGGGAGGGCGGACGAACGACGACCACCACCGCCGTGAAAATGAACGGCTCCGGGGCCAAGGAAAGCGAGGGCTGGGCCCCGAGCCAGGGGTAGACGAACGACAACCGCCACCAGACAAATTAAGCTGGGGGGAGGGCTGCGGCCTGTGGACTAGGGGCGGAGAAGACGAAGGAAATCGACCGAACGACGACGACGGCCACCACCACCACCACCACGGAAGCCAAGGGTTCCGGAGCCAGGGAGAGAGAGAGAGAGAGAGAGACCATGGAGGTGCCAGGAGAGCTCCTGCAAATTGTGGCCTTGCGCCGGGCAGCGGAACAACTAAAACAACATCGTCGTCAAGCGTCGCTCTATCGTCCAGCGTCACTCCATCGTCAATCGTCACTCCTCGAAGCTGGCACACTACACCTCGGCTCCCAATCGAGCGTTCTCCCAGTCCACCGCCTGTTTGCGCGTGCGGAGGTCTTGTCGGTCAGCGCCTTTTTCGCTTTCGTGAAGAGCACGGTCCAGTCCTCCACTCCGAACCTGGTGGCGAGCTCCAAATAGACGTGCGTAGCCCGCTGGATGTGAGAAACCCACGCCTCGTCTGGCAGGCGTCCAACACGTACCATGTGTCCACGGGAGGAGCCCAAGTTCCTGCAGTCCGTAACACATGGAACAAACGCGTGCGATGCCGAAAAAGTAGACGTCGCTGGCCCAAGATCTCTTTCAGACGGGAGAGCAATGCCAAACCAGCAAAGATTCGATTCGTGAGCTCTGTCGCGCGATAAGCATCCAAATAAGACTTCTACCCAAATACTTCCCGGACTCCCCTGTTGTAGGACCCGCGCATCGTGCCCAGTGCCTCTCACGCTCAACGGTCGCGGGAGAGCATGTGTGAAAATCGCGGTTTCCCCATGTGCACCTTTAAACTGTGCTGCCTCGTCTCTGTCTCCAGGCCCACGATCATTCTAGCCACGTCCCACTTGCTTGTGCACAACAAGAGGACGTCGTCCGCAAAACGGAGATTCGTGAGGGGTGGGTCTTGGGAGCGCCCCGTGCGGCGTACGTTCAGGCTCTCCTATCGCGCCTACAGCTTCTTGGAAGTAGCATCCATCACGACCACGTAACAATGAGGAACTGATAGGGCCGCCCTGCCTGACCCCGCGTGACATGTCAAACTGCCTGTTCCTTGTTCTGGCCATCGCTGCGGCCCACTGCTTGTCGTAGAATCTCTTCCAAATATTGGTGTAAGCGTGAGGGCACTCTGCTCGTGTAGTGCCGCCCACATCGCGTCGTGATCAACCAAACGCTTTTTCGAAATCCACCATGCCGACCCATAGTTCCACGTTGTAGTCCCTGGAGCCCTGGAAAAAAGACGTCGTGCACAGCAAGTGGCCCGCCGTGCTGAAACCCTGCCTGTACGCCGCCTGGTCGACCGACGGCCCACGAGCAATGACACCGCCAGGCCTTCCGAGAGCATCCGGCCGAGCAAACCGTGCAGTTTTGACACAATATTGCGACTGGGCGGTTGTTTTCAGGTACAGCTGGACCTAGGCCAGAAGAACATCCTTCAAGCACATGAGACCCTCCGCCGCGGCCAGCCAAAGCACACCAACCCCAAGACCATTCGAGGGTACCCTCCCCCAGGATGCAAAATAACATCCAACAATCACGAAGAACA